GGCTCCCCTGAGGGCTGTGTACTTTCTCCCCTGCTCTTCTCCCTGTACACGAACAGCTGCACCTCCAGCCATCAGTCTGTGAAACTCATCAAGTATGCAGATGACACCACCCTCATCAGGCTCATCTCAGACAGATGAGTCTGCTTACAGAAGGGAAGTGGATCAGCTGGTGTCCTGGTGCAGCTCTAACAACCTGCTGATCAACGCACAGAAGACAGTGGAGTTAATCGTGGACTTCAGGAAAGTCACAGCCCCTCCATCCTCTCTGGTTCTCAGCAACTACTCCATCCTGACTGAGGACTCCTTCCGCTTCTTGGGCACCACCATCACCCAGGACCTCAGGTGGGAGCCGACCATCAGCTCCCTCATCACAAAGGCCCAGCAAAGGATGTTCTTCCTACGGCAGCTGAGGAAGCACAAACTGCCAGAAGAGATGATGGTGTGGTTCTACACAGCCATCATGGAGTCCATCACTGTATGGTGCACTGGGGCCACAGGCAGAGACAGAGACTGCAGCGCTTTGTGTGCACTGCCGAGAAGGTGATCGGCTGCAACCACTGACCTGCAGAGGAGCTGTGCTCCTCCAGAACTCTAGGTGGCGCAGGCAGAATCACAGCTGATCCTTCTCACCCCAGTCACTACCTGTTTCMAACCCTCTCCTCAGGCAAAAGACTACGTCCATTCGGATTTTCCCATCAATCTTTAGACTAATGAACAATGTTTAATCGGTTCTGACCCATCGCTGCCGGCCACGCTTGTATTTTTGTTCTCATTTTTTGTTTTGAATACTGACTTGTCTTCCTTCCTCACTTCAACCACTTAGCTTTAGTTCTCTTAATCCTTGCTTATGCGCACCATTACACCAGAGCAAATTCCTAGTCTGTAACTCGTTTACTGACAATGGCAATGAAGTGTTTCTGATTCTGATTTATGTACTGAGAGTAAAAGCATGTTGTGCTCACCAGATAATTAATTTATAATTAATTCACCAGATAATTCAGAAGGGTTATGATTTCGGTGAGTTTCACCACTCCAGGGGCTGCGAGCTGACGAGGCTCGCTTTCAGAACTATTTTTTGTCTCAAGATCAGTTTGATGAGCCACTGACCCACATCGGTGCGCGCATCTCCTGCCAGGACAACTACAGATGCTCAATTTTATCTAAAGAGCTACTGTCCGTATGTCTCAGGTTAGCGGACATCATTCAGGAAACCGTCCCGTCGGCAAATGTGTCACTACGTCACACAGTGGAGTCTCTCTGATTGCTTGACGCTCCGTGTCGAGCTGCAAAAGTTCTGATTTTCCAACTCCAGTGTTCGACACACGTAACACGTGTAATGCTCAAAATGTTTCAAAATGTGCTGCGCTAGATGCGCCGCAGCACTTCCTGACGGCCCCTTGACTCACGTCCACCACAGACTTTACATGTAAACACCCCTGATGCTCAAACATTTGGTGCGATCGCAGCATAAGTACAACTTGTAACTTGGACCCTAGAGAATAACACAACTTGCTTTATTTTGCCACCATTGTTAATCTAGCATGTTGTTCGTTTAGGTCACATGTTTTTAACTGAACCCTCAGATTGAGGAGTAAATAGTCTGGTGCATACTTCAGTTGTCAGACACATTGGTTCTGAAAGCCACAATCACACACTCGACTTGAAGTGACCGTGAAATCAATTCCACCAGCATTCAGAATAAAGCTATGATTTTCAGGAAATGGCAGACCCCTAATTATCTCTCTTTTCCTCTAACATGCAGAAGTAAAGTCCACTCTTTGAGACGTTTTATGAGCACTTCACGAAGCTGACATTGATGAAGAGAACATGCTTCAAAAAAGGGAAAAAAAGAAACATTTTAAAGAACTAAGAAACATAACAAAAAAGGGACTTGTGTGTGTGTGTGTGTGTGTGTGTGTGTGTGTGTGTGTGTGTGTGTGTGTGTTCTAAATCACTCAAGCACCACTTTACCCACAAGTTTAGGGTCACTGATGTGCTGAAAGGTCACCCTTCTTTTCCACTCCCAATTCTTTGGATGACTGAAAAAGATTTTCCTCATGAATTCACAGCAATTTTTAAGTCATAGTGCAAAAGTCAGGCTACAAATATACAGCGACGTTTGGTCTTTAGAGCACTTCCAGACGTTTACACCACTYGACTGTTGTTTTAGCAGTATGTTTAGAGCCAATGTTGAGCYGAAAYGATGACCGTGAAACCACCTTTTTCYAAGTTTCAATTCTCTGGTTGACTGAAACCAATTTTCCCCCAGAATTTGCTTGTATTTAGCATCATCGATCATCCCTTCAATTTTGATGAATTTCTGGCGCAGCCAAYGAAAAACACCCTTAGGTCATAATTCTGCCAGCATCATTTCACTTTGGGGAGGACAAATATATGTTTGGTTTATACCTAAACCAACATTTTCTTTACATTCTTTGATAAAGTTTATTTTAATGTTGGCGTCACCAAACCATTTGAATCAAAACTGGATCCTTTTTTTTCTTCAAATAAACAAAAAATAGAGGTCAGTGGTAAAAGTGGAAGGAAACGTAGAACCGTTGCAGGAGGATAAGGGGAAAACAACTTTACTGGACCTGTTAAAGCAAAGGAAACCAGGTGGTAAATATTTTACACAAAATAAAATAAGATCACACAACCCTGAAAAGGAAGAAGCGTGTACAGAAAATGGATGGAAAATAAGATCATGACTACATTTCACAACATCTGGCTTTGWTGAGTACAAAACTTAACTATGTTTTACAGACAAACTCTAATTTTTGTTGGAGAATTTTGCAGCTTCTTCAGCATCTTCYTGAAAATAAATCATTTTTTGTCCCTGTCTGAATTTTGGTGGTTTGTCTTGTCTTGGCAGGTTTGTTAAGTTGACATATTCTTTTAGGGACCTAATGGTGTTGTAGGCTGACTCAAGTTTTTTTAACACAACCTTGATGTATACTTTTACAAAACTTTGCAGCTGACTTTTATGGAAAGCTTTTTCATGAACGKGGTTTCACAACAGCTGCAGAAATACATTCAGCTTGTGTTGATTGCGCACAGGTGGCAGAATTAGAGCTAATTAACTTCCTTTTTGAAAGCGGCAACATCAGAACTGAGTTTAGAGCTCCAAATCGACGTGGATAAACATTTTCTTTTTTCCTATTTTCACTTCACTGAATTAGAAATATTTGGGTACATTTTGAATTTAAACAATGGAATACATTAAAAATGCTATAAGGTAAGCCTACTTTCAGCGAGGCGCTACACCACGAGTGAGTGTAAAACAGTGTGACATTCACATCAGACCCATGTGAGTGATAAAAATGTCATGCCAAAAAGGYAGGTTTTGATTTACAGCTGCGTCAGCCCATGGGATGGGGTGGCTGCTGGAGTCTCTTTGTTCATCATCTAATGGCATGCTTTTAGTCATTCTGTGTTGCATTCAGATATGTTATCTTATAAACTAACTCTTACATAATGCTGGTTTGACCAGAGAAGCAAACAAGAAAAAAAAAAAAGCAAATAAGAGAAATCTGTCATTCTTCACCTTCTGCCTGAGGCGGTAGCCTGTGGTTGTACTCACTTCCTGTGGATTGAAGACTTTATTGAGGAAAAGCTGATCTGATTGTGGACCACTCATCTTTAAATGTAGGATTTGTTGAGAAAATAACCCCCCCCCCCAAACAACAAAATGAATAAAACCCTAGCATAGCATGAAAGAAGGCAKATCACTTGCAGCTTTTTCTGAGGCACTTTTAAGCCAAAACACATCATGAGGGAACATTTTGTGCAATGTTATATGTGTTAACGCTTAGAATATGAGATGTTAAGGATTCTCAGCTATTACCATGTCCGATTTTCATTCAGTATCTAGAAAAGAGTTATAGCTGTTTTATTCTTGGCTATGGATCTAAATTGGGGTCATAAGTTTTGTTCAAAATAAAAAAAAATTGAAACTGAAAAAAGGGATTTGAAAATGAAAAATAATTTTGAAACTGGAAAAAAACTGAAACTGAAAAAAGGAGATTTGAAACTGAAAAACATATTTGAAGCTGAAAAAAATTTGAAACTGAAAAACAATGCATTACAATCTAGAAAAGTTTCAAACATCTTGTCTTTTCAGTTTCAAATTATTTTTTCAGTTTCAAATTATTTTTTCAGTTTCAAATTATTTTTTCAGTTTCAAAATTGTTTTTCAGTTTCAGTTATTTTTCAGTTTCAATTTTTTTTCAGTTTCAAAATTGTTTTTCAGTTTCAAATCTTTTTCAGTTTCAATTTTTTTTTTTTTAAATTTGAACAAAACTTATGACCCCAATTTAGCTCCATAAAGGTCAGCTTTCTGTGGGGCCATCTTGAGTTGGGATGACTCTAGAAGGTAACAGATTGTACAWATACACTAAAATGGTTGCTTAATTAAAGTTTCAATCAAATCTGTCCCGAGGTTTATGAAAAAAATTTGCTAACAGACAAATAAAGTTGACTCCAAGAGTTAATTGCAAAAGTTAAAAAGCAGATCTTGTGTAATCAACTAAAACGTGGAGTATAAAAGTACATGACTCTTAGCACAGCAACTTTTAGCTCCACATCTGCAAAACTGCAWGAGTTGTAAACAATTGAGTGTTTTCTAATATTGGTTGATAGTGGCAGTTATCTTGAACTGGATTGACAACAAAAGTTAATCAGTTGTATTTGYCCATCTAATGATTAATKTCTGAGAGTTTCATGAAAATCCGTCCAGTGGTTCATTAAATATTTTGCTAACAGACACAGAAACAGATGCACACACAGGTAAAACATTGTTGCCCTTTTACTTTCAGTGGCGGGTGATAAGCAGAGACTATTTTACTCCTTACCAGCCTCCAGTACRCCCGTGCACATTACATAATGCAAACAGAAAAAAGATTTATAGAAAGACACAAAGCAGAGAGGAAGACTGTGACTCGCACCTCCTCTGTTATTGTGTGACAGTCTGCCTCCTCCTCCTCCTCTTCCTCCTCCTCCTCCTCCTCCTCCTCGTTCCCGCTGCCTCTCGCAGCCACATCTCTCCATCACTCCATCTGCTTCGCGTCCCTCTCCTCTCTCCGTCCTCTCACATCCTCATCCTCCGCTTCGTTCGTTCCATTCGACGACATGTTCTGCCGGTGAAGTCCGCCAACTCACGCAGACCGCGGATGCCGAGCGACGAGAACAGACAAATGCTCTGAGGAGGAAGAAAAGGGAGAGAAGAACAACAAGAAGAAGAAAACACGCACGTTTGCATTTTTCTCTGAGTGCCTTGGCTTGAACGGAGCAACAGGATGGATCTGTCTTTCATGGCCGCRCAGGTGAGCAAGAAGCTTTTCTTTAAACTTTCATTCATTTCATGGGTGTGGCTGGTCAACAAGTTCATTATTATAAGAATGAAATAACGCATCCACGACTGTTGTTGTATTTTTTTAAAGCAGCAGCAACCTTATTTTATGGCACTGTTACTGACTTGGCTTTCATCAATCTGTTAAAGTTTGTCAGGTTTTGTGTCTCTAAAAAGGGTTTGTGTCRGACTTAAAAAGTCAAATCAGTAAATTATCTAAACATCAAGCATCTAAACAATAAAAAAAATTAATGCAAGTTTTATTACTGGGCAGGAGAGGTTCCACCATCCTAAACGGGTCGATTCTGTTCAAATATTTGACTGCCTCACATATTAAACACACATGCTTAAGTTTCAGCTTCAAAAAGAGCACTTGCTCCTTGTTGTGCTTGTTTTTTTGGTTTGCATTAAAGCCTTTTCATCCTGCACTCACTTCTCTTTTTTTTCTTTTGTTGTCTGCCTTAAGGTTTGTTTGGTTCCATCTACTTAGCTGTTTTCTGCGCACCCATTAAAGAGGTTCATAGTATTATTTTCTCCGCTAAGGGCTCTTCGGCGGGACCAGATGCTCCCGAATCTTTTTAAATCGAGGCCCTCTAAATGGAAATGCATTGGAGCATGTGACCCATCTGAGAACGCGTCCTTGTTTACTATGAACCAGACTGAAAGTGAGGCGGAATAATAAGTCATAAAAGAGTAGATGGTTTAAGTAATTATTTTATTTCCTTTCTTGCACGATGAGCTAAGTATGACTAATGTGGGGGTGGGGGGGGGGTATTGGTACAACTCATCAAATATTTATTTTAGGAGAAAGATTTAGATGTAAAGCAAATGGATGTCTAAATGATTTTGTCTTTTCTTAAAGAAAAACATCTAAAAGTGACAGAAAAGCTTTCTAAGATTAGCATCAAGGTTTTAAAATGGAAAAACAAAAAACTAAAAGTGCTTCAGTGTAGAGTTTAATGTTGAAGTCTTTTTTTGTTTGTTAACTAATACCACTCAAATGTTTAAATGCTTATCTAGATTATGTACTGTGTAGATATTTAGCYAACACCAGAGGGAGATGAAATCAACATTTAACTGGTATTTTAACWGAGATTATAAAGTGAGTCTTTTATTCAGAAGGTAAAAAAAATAAAAATAAAAAAACAGCAGCACCTGCTTCCAGATGGATGAGACCAGATTTGTTTGGCTCCTTTTAACTAAATTTGAGCSTTATCCTTGTTTACCTCATTTGAAGTGTTTGTGTTTTATCAATTTCTTTATATTATGAGGTTTACATAGTTTTGAATTTAGCCAGATTCTGCTRTATTTGTTTACCTACAAATACTACRGTCACTTYAATGTAGGTCAGTCATGTGACACTTCTACTGTACATGTGTTGTGTTTACACTGAGTGAGTATCAGTATGTCTGGAAAACTACTGTAGTAAACTCAAACATCAGCATTTGATAAGGCTAAAGATAATCTTTGTTTTATTTTATAGCTAAGTGTTTTTTACTTTAAACATTTAGATTTTATTAGAATCAGATGTTTGGTGTAGTTTTTGTAAAATGGATTCAAGTGGTAAATTTACCTAACTTGCATTGCCATGAAGTTAAATTATGTTTTTGTCTTTTTCTAAAACTGTGCCAATAATATAGTTCTGTGAACTACAAACTTAGATTTACCATAATTTTTGATGTTGAAATGAAATATGTTAACAGCGTCCAAGCCCTGCTATGGATATGTTCATTATGAAAATGTTGTCCTGGTTTGAACAAACTATTTTGCATCTCTGGCTTTCCTTAAAAATACTGAGCCCCCAGGCTCACAAGATGGTCAAAGCGGGGCATGCTCATCATAATGCACCACACTATATTCAGCTTTTATATTTAGGATGTGGCTTTCATCCTACTTGCCTCTTGTCCCACCAGCTGCCATTCAACATTATCACATAAAGCATTCTGCCCCCCAGCGAACGAGTGACATGAGGTTCTGTCTGACAATAAAGATCATAATAACAAGGTATTTTCTGTAGCGGGTGGGGGTGGGGGGAAGAAACGTCAAAACAACCAGCAAAAGCAAAATTGCATTACCAGGCTACCAGTCATCCATGACAAAATTTAGTGATGGACCACAAAAACACTGGAAAACATAGCAGAGTGAACGAKGATGCTTGGAGCGTTGACAGTTTATTAACCTGTGAGTGTGGGGCGTTAAGTGTGAAAAAAAAAAAAGGAGCACAGATCAGAAACAAAGACCCCAGATGTAGCCAGGCTCTGATTTTCTCTTCTCAGAGAAACAAGGCTGATTCTGTATTGATGAAAGCACAGATGCTGAAAGCACGTCTGGAAGTGCCAAAGCAGAAACAAAAGCTCATCTTACCGTCCACCACAGACCTAGTCCCTGAGCTTTGCAAAAATCAGCACATTACTTCTTGAAGTCTCTGCTTTGCTCTTATTTTCTGTAACACTTCAATCTCATACATGGATGTGTCTGTTTTGATGACACATGACTTGATGGCAGCTTCATTGCACTCATATGGAGTAGTTACACCTGGGCAAAGGTGTGATTTACATGTCAAGTTTGTGTAATTCACCAAACCTCAAGGTGTGATGTGTCTGCCGCAYGCCGCCATCCTGTTTTGAAGACTAAATTAGGTCAAAGTTAACTCAGCCAGCTGAGTCCAAGTTGGYTACCCCTGGTTCATCTTTCTCCACCTTTTCTTTGAAGATGGCAGCCGTCTGAGTGCAGAGATGGCTAATTAACTGAATCAAGGAGCTCTCCAGTGTCTGCCACTTTAAAACAGTCTTACAGAAAAGTCAGACAGATGCGCCTGGTGTTTTAAACACTGACGTCACAATGGATTTTTTTGTATTTTTTGGCACAGTCATATTAAATAAAAGTTTTCTGCCTTCAAACCACTAAAATTTTGTGATCGTTTTGTCTAAAGATGGTTGATGTGACCTAAAACAGCTTTGCAAAGATTGTAAAACAGTTTCAACTCAGAGAGGAAGTGCAGATATTTTTCTTTTAGACGATAATGTGTGCTTCTTGAAGAGATGCCCCCCCCCCCCCCCCGCTCATTACTGCTTTGGTGTATTTGAGCAGAACACTTTAAACATATTTAGTGATCTCCTTTTACAATTTAATTTTCCAAAGAAGCTGAGGAGTTTCCTTTGTTTCCACCAAAACGACATCCATCCCAAGAGCATGTATCTTGTGCATCAGTCCACAGACTATCAATGCAGACTAGTTACACAATTGGCTAATGTGTGGCTGTATTTATCACCCTTCTCCCTGTAGAAAAAAGTGCTGCTCCATATCGCATAAGCTCCCCTTTTTTTATTTATTTTTTGACGAACAATGTGYTTGTTGTTTCCATTTGGCAGTAATGCCTCGCCGCTTTGCAATGAAAACGATTCGTTAGAGTGAAACCAGCGACAACCTGAAGCGCTGCAGAATGTGCGTTGATAGGTGACAATCACTGCGAAGCTTTTCAATACTAAGCTGAGTGCAATGAGGCGATTTCTTCTTTATCCTTTCAATTAGCCCTAATCCTCTGGGGATGGAGCCACTTTTTTATGTTCGGTTCACTCTGCATCGATGTGGAACACAGTACACTGTACTTTGTGAGGATGTCAAAACACGCGAAGAAAGGGAAAAGAAAATGATTCTTATTCTTCCAAATCACTTTATTTTATCTTTTTTTTTCTTCATTTTTTGGAGTTGAAATTGTTCGGTGCACACCTTGTGAATAGGATGCAACTGTCTGGGCATTTAACTGGGAGATGTTAAGGCATAACAACAAGCCGTGTGTGATGAACCTACGGTGTACCTTGATGTGTTTTAGACAGGGTTCAGTTCCCTTCTAGGCCTTTTGCCAGTCTCTGACTTGTTTTCACTGACAGATTTGCCACACAGGGCAGAGAAACCCCTATAGGGCTTTGTCTTTCAGATCCTGGCCTTTAGCTTATTTTTGTTTTCACACTTAAACCACATTTGCCAGGTGTAGAAAAAACATATATAGATTTTATACGTAATAAAACCGATTTTTCTTACATTCCTGGCTGTACTAATAGAACATTATTTTGTTTCTGTATCTATCTATTTCACTGAGAGTGTATCCCATTAGTTTCCTTTCTGCTTCGTCAGAGAGGATGTGGCTGTGAGTCATTCTACCTGATAGGGCTGAAGGAGACGGACAACTGTGTTAAAGAGGCTTGACAAGAACGAAAGGTTGAGGAAGGAGGGAGTGTTTGACAGCTGAAACAAACAAAGCCATATGTATTTATTTGCAGCTTCGAGCCCCCCTGAGCAAAACAAAGCAGAGCCGGAAAGAACACTTTGATCTACTTTGGTAGCAAATTAGATCACTCAGTAGCAAGTGCATTAAAAGCAATACAACCAGAGTAGATGATGTAAAGTTTAAGAGAYGTGCTGGAGGCAGACCAAGAAGATTTGTCTGTGCACCTTTGCCCCTGATATTAAAGCCAACTTATTGGAAATCAAGCTGAAGAGTTCACAAATTAGATTATTTTTTTATTAAACACTGTTTGAATAAGTAAAGCTTATACTGCAGCCATCTTTATTCTTAGTTGCAGGACAAAAATTGAATTACATAATGAAGGTATATTACTGTAGTGCGTTTCTGCCCAGACTGTCCCTTTTAAAAATGGCCTGGTCTCTGTAATGTAGGCTTATCTGAAGAGAGCAATAATAGCACTCGAGGCTTTTCATCTCGAAGAGTTCATTTCCCTTCTGGTCTACGTCTCTGCAAATACGTAGCTTTTTATGAAAGCTTTTGTTTTGAATCTTGCCTCGATTTTAGAGCTTTCTCAACTTTTATATGACCTGGCAGAGTTATGAACAGGCAATATTCAACCCAAACTAATAAAACAAATAAATAAATAAGTGCACTGTGCAGATTTGACACAGCTTGACACCTTTTCACTAATTTATAATTGTTGTTGCCGGGTTCGGGGGGGATC